CTTCTTAGTTTTTAGTTATTTTAGAACGCTAAACCGTTAGCCAAACTGTTAAGTTTGGCATGATTGATTTGTTAATTACCTAATGCTATGTCACTGTCTTTATAGCTGTCACAGAAATTATAAATTGTATTACAACTGTTGATAGAACTCATAAGTTTCTTGCGACCATTTGTCTTGTCTGCCCGAGGATGCTCTGAACGGGCGGCAAAAGCCAAATAAAAATGTTGGACATAAATGACAAAGTTTATTTGAATAAATTATATGATATTAAAACCGTCATTTGTTTCTTCAGTGATATACCAAAAGCACTACCAAAGACAAGTCCGTGTTATGTTGAGATTGCTAATGATTGTGATAGAACAAATGACGATAATAGCAAGTTCACAACAGCCACCGCTGGGCCCAAACCGGTCTAATAGAAACAGAACAAGACTTAAATCTATGATTAAACCAGGAAAAAGAGCTCTGAATACAGTAGTGCCTGTTTGCGAGAAATAAAGTTTAGTTTCGCATTTTATTTTAAAAGCTTACAATGTATTTTGAACGGAAATAACATAGTAGTAGAAAATCCAATCGTTTATATCATATTCTTAATGTAATTTTTATTCAAAATACAATTGGCGCGACACAAAGAATTATATAAGATACTCCCTAGTTTCATCCTCTGCATGATAATAGATCTATGTTCTAAGGTAGTAAACGGTCGTACAAGTACAAGAACCACAATTATCAGAGTTTTACATTAATTATCATTAATGATCGACCTTTGCGTGCTTTATGGTGTATTCTAAAACTTCACTTCTCCATTTTCAACATTATTTTAATAAACCTGACCTTAGTTTAACGTCAAACTGTTAATATATCCGATGTAACTAAGTACACTCTGATACCGTGTAAATCTCATAAAATCCTTCGCACAAGATTATTTTGGGTACACGCGAATCTTGCACATTGACAGTGTTATTTTTAGGGACACGCGATTTCGATCTGTATTTCCGCAGTCGAGAAGGATTTGTCATATTCACACTTATATCTCTTCTTACGGCACATATAATATTTTTTTAATAATAAACATAAAATAGGTCAGTCGACACAAATCAACATGTGAATGCTCACCATCCGTGAATTCATCAGACCGTGAACGTAGGTCACTGTACATTTTACATAAATTATATTGTATAAGTGATATACGTTCGCTCCACAATATAAAGTTAGTCTGAGCGTTTGATCAATGTTTTCGTATCGTATCGTATTGGAGTGTAGTGCACTTTTTCGTTCGGTTTTTCTTTTGGAATTTTCCACTATCTGCATTCGTTCATCCGGTGACTATTAGAGATTGGTGTCGAATTTTTTCTCATTTGACTTCTCAATTTTCGCTGGCTTTCTATTGATTATTAGGAATTTACATTCAGAATATCACATTAATGATCGCAACAATTTAGATAGAAAATCTCTCTCCCATTCAATTTCCACAGTCGACTCTTGTCGAATATTAGGAATTTCTACCGTAAATCTCATATGAAAGCTTTCAATTGCTAGTGCCTTATCGTTGATTATAAGAAATTTATAAAAAATCTGCCTCGAAAGTTATAATTCAATTGCAACAGTTAAATCTTGTTGTTTATTAGGATTTATAGAAAATATCCTCTTGTACACTTTTCACAAACCGCTTGGATTAACCCATTTTAAATATAGTTTACGCTTCCTCAAATTATTCAACAAATAATTTATTTGTTGCTTACATTATTAGTGATGTATAATACAAAATTTATATAAGTTTGTATATTTTCACAAAGTTAGTTCCCATAAAAAACAAAAAGATAGTATACGCCCTAATCCTAAATATTATATATAGGTATATATATATATATATACATTATCTGGGAATGCTTAAACAGCTGACTCGTTCATTCAAATTCTATTGTATTCAATCAGTAAGTAGCTTTCAAACTGACCTCAATGTTACGAATCATACGGTATATTTCTTGTACTTAGATAACTTCGTGTCTATTTAGCTTGTGTGGGAGCTAGTCACTTTCCCAAAATCAATTCTTATTCAACATTAAGCAACTTCGACTGCACCTTAATTGATTTAATAAAAGCTTTTATAAAAAAAGTTCAAGGTATCGCATAAAAAGAACTAGAAGAACACATACAAATTCATTTAATGTTTTAAATGTAATTCTGCTTTTTGTAGGAGGCAAATTCATCGAATTAAAAATCAAGGAGAACCTAAATTCTCCTTGATGCAGCAATCACACAATCATAGACAACGAAAAATCTCGTTGATTACACTAGCGATCCGACTTAAATAATTAATTATATGACAATAAATACTCTTTATAAATAAATTTTTTCCATTATTCAATTACCTAAGCAGATTCTTTTTCATAGAATTAGTTTATTGTTAAAAATGTAAACAGTACTGAATGTATTGTGAATGTGACTGTCCACAACTCATCGTTCTTGGAAACCTTGTGCAATTTCAACTACCATACATTGTTTCGATCGTTCCCACATTCACGAATGGTGTTTGTACCTTTTAACTATGCACGATTATCAAATTTTTGTTTAAGTTCAGTAAAAGTACCAGAATGTTGTTCCTCCTATCTTAAATAAATCGTGAGTCAAGTTGTTTATGTGTTAACTACTATTCAAATATTATGGATTTTCTCTGAGATTATTGTTTACCAAAATGGACTCTCATAGAAAATGCTTTAGTTTTGTGCTAGTGCTTTGCAAAAAAATTAAATTCTATTCATAATAGATATTAATGTGACTTATCCATCTTCGAAACGAGTGGGAGAGTCTGAATAAAGATGACGATTGGGTAAAAACAAGAAAATCTATTTTTATTTCTCTATTAATCAGATAATAGAAAAATATTAGATAGGATTTTTTTTTTACTTCAATTTAACAAGAAATAGCTTAGATAACAGACATTAAAGTTGAGAAGTGGGGGCTCGCTACGTCACAGTTTTGTAGAAAATATACCAAAGCGTGACGTCATGTGTCTTTCTAATTCAATGTATCGCCGTAATTTAATGATTACGAAAAAAAATACGTGTTTAATATTTTCAACAATCTTCCTGACGGACAAACAAACAAAAATCAGTCGTCATCCCTATTATCACTGATGGACTACTAATCTCTATCTTTATTCATTTAATATTGTTATCTATTTCCATCACATGAATGCTGAGTATTTATATGTCATATTAAACATCATCATCTGTTAGGTACCTTATTATTTCGCTTTTAATCACATTGTAATTGGAATGGACGCTAAGGAAAAGTAAATCTTATTTACACCACAGTTAATTCGTTTATGAATCATTTTAATTCTTTTTGCTTTATTAATGTGATATCATTAGTTGTTTAGGCGTTAATTTAATAGGCTCATCCATGAAGTAGACACTCGTTGAATTATATACAACAACTCTACTTTGTCCACTGCGAAGTCCACTCAGAGACTAGATAAATTTAATGGCATTATTACGCAACGTTTGCGTGTAACATTATTATCTGATGATAGTCAAGCCTAAAATTATATGCAAATAAGGAACTATCTTTTTTTCATGTGTGTTATAAAAATACATAATTTAATAAAAAAGAAGCCTTTTATCGAGCTTTTACCATCAAAGCTTGGAACATGCTAAGTTTGATCAACTGTGATTATACCAATGAGCTGTACCTGAGCAGAAGACATTAATCTTATTATTCACAAAACATTATACAATATAACTGCAAATCCTCCTTTATATTTACGATTTATATGCAAGGGGTGTATAATCTTATGACGGTACAGCCAAAAGCCGAAAGATTCGTTTTCAATATTTTTACCGATAGTACTGTCTGTTATATTATCATGTTTTGTATCCTTACCTATGGTGTTTGTGTGTACAAATAAAGAATATTTCATTAATTATTATTCATATTATATATGATATTCTATTTAAAATAAATTACTTTCAATATATATCCTTCAGTCATAGTCGGCATAAACTTTCAGCTGAAATCGTATGTATGAAAGTTATTGAAAAGCTGCAATGCAAAATTTAATATTATAAGTTACAATCATATTATTTCCAGTTAAAATACTGTAACCATGGTTATTTCTGAAAAAAAAAAATAAATCACTAGTACCTTAGTACTGACAGCTCATGTAACAGTATGACTCATAGAGACACGTTTCTTTTGCTAATCATCAATACAAGAAATATGATGTAACTACTACTCCCGTCTGCGTGCTTCGTGACGACGATTGTATTGTAGGGAAGGTGTAAACTAGACGGCTAAAAAAATGTTACATCGCTAATTGTTTGCCTATTTGAATATTATTATCTGTTTGTCATTCGTGAATGTGTTTGAAATTAGTTCTTTGTTAGATATCTTTACAAAATGTCAATGTCCAGCGAATGTTTAACTTACCTTAAACGAGTTTGATCTTTACTCTTAGTTCGAAAGAGTATGATATCTGCGATAAGGAGCTTATATATTAACTATATGTGAATGATAAATATTCAAAGTGATTTATTTTAAATATTATATTGAAACGAAACCCTTCAGTGGCTCTTTAAAAAGTGTGAAACTTTTAAAATATAAATTGCAGATTTGACTGTTCTGTCTCAGAAGGTTGCCAACCCCTGATATAGGTCGTACATAGACGGATTATACGGTACTTGATTTATATTTTGATTTCTAAAATTGTATATTTATCCGTTTATCATAAGATGGATTATTTAATTATTAAAAAAAAAGTTATCAACTAGCCTGGTGTAGGACGGAACGTCTTAACATACCTTCCGAACAGGAAGAGCTCTAGATATCAGATTTTTAGTCACCCATCTCATGTACGTCCCTTGCAGAAGTTTCTGAATCTCGACAATCGTATACCGAACGCGCTAACTAAACGACATGAAACTCGTCAAAGTTTATTTCTTAATATTGTTTTATGTTTCTTTGTTTATATTAATAAATGTAATCTTTTTTGTCCACAGACCGTTCAACACGGCTTTCCACACAGATCGTCAGCGCTAGCATGGGACCCCCTGCTGCGGCTGGCGGCCATAGGCACGGCCACCGGCGCCCTGAAGGTCTACGGCCGCCCAGGAGTGGAGCTGTACGGACAACACACCAACCCAGACACTGCAGTCACACAGATACACTTTATACCTGGTAAGATATGCACAACTCGTATGAATCAACATGACACCTGACTGTCGACTTAAATTCGACATCTCTGTATGAAATAAAACAGGGACAAAAAGCAGCCGTTGATGAGTTTTTTGCTGGATTTTTTCGAACCGATAGATTAACAGCCTTGACTAAATAAATGATATTGAATTGGAAGTGCCCATTTTATTTGTCCTCGAACGAAAATTCGGAAAATTTTGAATTGTTCTTATAATTTTTTTGTTAAAATCATATCACCGCCAAAAAAGCCCCATTAGTCGTATCGCCTCGCTTTCAAAACATTACCCTAACTGCCTCAGCCAATATTGAGATTCTTGGTGTCGACATATCGAGCGAGGTCCAGTTCCGTGGTCACTTAGAGGGTAAGGCTAAATTTTCATCTAAGAAGCTTGGTGTGCCTCATAGATCGAGGCAGTATTTCACTCCAGCACATCGCCTGCAGCTTTATAAGGCGCAAGTTCGGCCCCATATGGAGTACTATTCTCATCTTTGGGCAGGGGCTCCCCAATACCAGCTTCTCCCTCTAGACCGCATTCAGCGGAGAGCGACTCAAATCGTCGATTGGCGGGACACTTCAAGTCGGCTTGATCCACTGGCCCTGCGTAGAGATGTTGCTACACTATGCATCTTCTATCGCATCTATTACGGAGAATGATCCGAGGAATTGTTCGGACTCATACCTGCCTCTACCTTCCGCCATCATTCCACGCGACAAGAAATCCACGCCCATCATTTGGATGGTTGGAAGTCCTCAACTGCGCGTTTTTCAAGAAGTTTCCTGCCTCGCACACTCAAACTCTGGAACAATTTGTCGCCAGCAGTATTTTCGGACCGATACGATCTTCAAACTTTCAAGCGTAGAGCATATTCGTCCCTCAAAGGCCGGCATCGCGCTTGTAGCCCCTCTGGTGTTGCAGGTGTCCATGGGCGACGGTAATCATTTACCATCAGGTGATCCGTCTGTTCCATCGGATGTATCCCATAAAAAAATATCCGTGTAGATCAGAAACGGTGTTAAGTCCTACTTCTGTTGCATCATAAATTATCGGACGAATTATGAAGTTGTAGGGCAGAAGACCCGATTTTGGCCACTGCCCTCTTTTTTCCATTTGGAACCTCAAAGCGTTCTAACTAAGACAAATATATTAATTTAAAGTGAAAGGTTTTCATAAGTTTTATTATAGCTAAACTTATTGCGTTAATAGCTATGATGTATCAAAGTTCACTTCGTCGTAACTATCAAAGTGGCCAAAACTAGCTCATAATTTTAAATAGCCAATATCGGGTTATCTGCCCTATAAGGACATCGATAATATACGAAATTTAAGTTTCGGTGAAATAGAAATATAATAATAGAATTGATTTGACAGGGTTTCAACAGTTCTTAAAGCGTTTGCATTGTACAAATAATAATCAAAGTTACTCTTAAATTATAGCATTAAGACGGTACCTCAAGGTTTCCATTAATTTGACCGGAAGAATGGATGGCACCCAGTGTTCTTTTGTACCTGATTTTTTTTCAGAGTAATAACATATACATTCTCTTTCACAGGCACTGGCCGTCTTATATCATTATGTGACGACAACAGCTTACACTTATGGGAGATCAACGAGAAATCTCTAGTAGAACTGAAGACACACATGTTTGAAGGCAAAAACAAAAAGATATCCTCCTTGTGCGTGGAGGCGTCAGGAAAGAACCTACTGCTTGGCACGGAGGGTGGTAACCTGTACTCCCTCGATTTGAATACCTTCACAGTCAATGAGGATGCTATCTATCAGGATATTGTTATGCAAAAGTAAGTAGATCGTTAAGTAAGCCTTTTAATGGCCCCACAATGACGACAGATACAGGCTGATTACTGAATAAGGAGAAACTCGAGATTTTTTTACCACGCAACCAGTAAACAACCTTTTTGAAAGTTTGTTAACCACTTGATGATAAATGTTATTCGCGATTTCAGGTTTATCGAAATGTTTAATTATTACCCAAAAAAAAATTGCCTAATATTTACTTATTATATTTGATCAGTACAAAAGCATTCACAATTCAATGAAAAATGCTTAAAAATCCACTTTGTCCACTGGAACTCTGAGATTGGACTCGAACCTTTCGCAACCCGGGCAATGAAAGTGGATTTTTTTAAACATTTTTCATTAAGAATAATATTGACTTCTTTAAATAGTTGACTCATATTCTTGAACTCCTCTCTACCCACTTGGTGGTATGGTTTCTTACATATGTGTGATTATATTCAATATTAAAAAGGTTAGGAACCCCTGATCTATATATTCACACCAGTTCTCTTATGAGGTAGGCAGAGAGATGACATGTCTTTTGCTTCTTTGACAATATCTCTTCAAACACGGTCACCGGCTTTTATGAGTTATGACATCAACTATGAACTTTCTAGTTGCCCAGAAGATTTCAAAGTGAACCCTGGCGCTGTGGAATCGGTATGCGAACACCCTAAAGTACCGTCACGTCTTCTCATCGGCTACAATCGAGGACTCGTGGTGTTATGGGACCGCACCACCTCAACGACCACACACACGTTCGTCTCAAACCAGCAACTGGAAAGTCTTTGCTGGAACGATGACGGTGAGATATGAATATCTGAATAAGGTACCTTAAGCTGGTCCAATTTTTTTGAAAAAACGAGTTGAAAAAACATTAAAATACGTTTGAATTACAGTCCCAATTCCTATTCAGTCAATCGCAAAGCTGAATTGTAACTGAAATGTATTGTTATTAGTCTGCACACAGGCTTTTATAAACATTAGCTCTTCTTAGGCAGCACTAACTTATATTTTAATTCAATTTAAATATTGTAATAATTTTATATGTTTCGAAAAGGCTTTGGATAGGCAAGTCATAACTATCACTTTCACTAAACAACATAGAGTAAATATGTACACTAAAATAATGTAAAAATTGTATCATTAATAATAAGATTTATGACTATTCTACCAATATACTTTATAGGTTATGCCGCATGAATTTACCTGATTGATGATATTATCACGATTGAGTATACACAACAGCAAATCGGAGCCTTAAATCGTAAACGCAGATATGGCTGTCCAGTAACATTTCAATCATATCTCTTTTTTTATATAAATAGTGTTACTACATCATTAAATAACATATTTTTTAGAAACACACAAGGAGACAAAAAGAAAGAAGGACAAATAATAACAAAGAAAACAGCAGAATTTAGGTTCCCACAAGAACAGTACAGTCTGCAACCGATTTTGAACACTACTGTTAATATTAAGGTTTATTACTTAATTTCGTTCGTCTGATTTGTAAAACTTGACTGTACATACATGCAGGCGAACATTTCACATCGTCGCACAACGATGGCTCGTATGTAACGTGGGAGGTGGCGGCTGCGGCGAGCGAGCGGCCCCTGAAGGAACCAGTCACTCCTTACGGACCGTACCCGTGTAAAGCCATCTCGAAGATACTCAATCGTACAAGCATTGACGGCGAGGAGATCATAATATACGCCGGTTAGTACGCTTTGAGACTTTAACGGACAGAATTAAATTGATAACCTCCTCGTTTTTTTTTAAGTCTGTTTGTTTGATTTTTTATCACGTCTTTATATGCTGTCAAGTTCATACGAAAACAAATATAATATTAGTTTTCTTACCAACATATGACTCTAATTCTCAATAAGACAAGGAGAGGCACATACTAGTGTGTGACGTCAAATTAAGTACATAAAATATACACCTCCAACCACACCATTTTACAAATTACATCTATATTGTATTCGTCAGATTTTTATATTTATCATATTTATTTGATGTATTTTATTTAAAAATGTTCTCGTCAATAATGTTATAATTGAAATATAAATTGAACACTTTATAGAACCGTCAGCAACTCAACAAGTTTTACACATAATATTACCACAATATGTCAGAGTTTTGCAATGTATTTTGTCAATGGTTTAAGGATCAAATCCTATTGGTTCGGCTAACTAATATTCTGTTGACTGACCATAAACTTTGTCTAATATATATATATCCGCAATATTATATTATATAGAACACAGAACACAATCAAAAATTACTGAAAAATCAATTACTGTTCATTTGTTTCACTAAAAACTCGAGAATGCCTGGATCAATTTAGCTGATTTTAGTTTTGTAATGTTTGTCGTAGTCCAGGGAAGGTTTAAATGCTGAGAGGTGATACGAATCATACTGAGTCTAGTCAACAATAATAATGGAGGTGTATTATAATATCAATCCCTTTTTATAGGTGGTATGCCAAGAGCGTCATATGCAGACAAATACACAGTCACAGTACAACAGGGAGAGAAACATGTCGCTTTTGATTTCACCAGTCGAGTAAGTAAACGCTATATTTTGTGTAAAATGAAGTTAACAAATGAGTTGCTAAATTAATTTATGTAATGATATTCTAATGAGTTGCTAACTGCAGCAGAAAGTTTGGTTTATGACACTGTTATTTTTTTTTCTTTGACTTTTTATCGTGTCATCTAAAAGTTGCTCTAAATTATTGGTAAAAAAGTTAGTAATCAAACATGTTTCCCTTCGGACTAAAACTAAGCCTTCTTTTCTTGTATGCCTTCTTCGGTAACAAATAAGATTGGTTTCAGGTCATAGACTTTTTCACAACAACACCAGTTCCGCCAGATGGCGTTCCCTTACAAGAAGAAAGACCGGACACTCCAGCACAAATACTGTTACAGACAGTTAATCAAGTGGCCGCTGCGTTGGTGAGTAGTTATTTTCAAACCAAATACAAAACTGAAATAAATAAATATATATATATATATATATATATATACTCCTCTTTTATCACCTTTTTTATTATAGATATTCATGATACATCTAATTTTCTCCTAGAATATTACAAATCCTATTGTGAATGTGATCTTTTGGGTTTTATCCCAACGAGTTGCGGTAGCCTAATCGAATTTACAATATAATAAAGCTTATATATGTATTAATGGAAACAACCATATCATATGATACAACATTCTAGCCTCATTATACAACAAATGACATTGCCATTCGAGCTAACTTTTATAAAGCTTTTGTTTATATGTTGCTTTTGTGTTATTATAATTTTAATATTTTTCTATGGTTGTATAGGTAGTGCTGGCGGAGGAAGAGCTGGTGGTGATAGACTTGTGCGATGCTAAGTGGCGACCAGTAAGGTTGCCGTACCTGGTATCAGTGCACGCGTCCGCCGTTACCACCGCTCAGCTCGTAGACAACGTTGCCGCCACTGTACTAGACTCGATCATAGCTGCCGGTAAGATATACTACATCTCCCCTCTCTCTCTCTCTCTCTCCTCTCTCCTCTGTCTCGTCTCTCTCTCTCTCTCTCTCTTCTGACTCTCTTACCTCTATATTTGTCCTTTTATCTCTCCTGTCGTTCACACCACTCCACCTATGTCCTATCTTCTCTATCTCTATCCTTTCTTTCTTCTCTTTTCCCTCTTTTTCTCTCTACGATGATTGGAATCCAAACACTCCTTACAATGACATGTTTTCATAAGAGCCGACAAGATACATTAAATCTACATGTTTTTCCATTTCTGTTATATTTCCCACAGGTCAAAAACAAACAGAGAACGTATATTCGGAATGTCCGTGGCCAATATCCGGCGGTCAAGTCGAGTCTAGCGAGCCGTCCGCCCGTCAGTTACTATTGACCGGCCACGAAGACGGCTCAGTACGATTCTGGGACGTATCCGGGGTCGCTATGACGGCATTATACAAGTACACCACCGCACCATTGTTCAGGTCAGTCTTCCCGACATTTCATAACTTATGATGGAATGACCGAATCCCGTTAGGCAGCGCTTGTGTAACTGTAGGTCAAATTTTGATGAAGAATTGTGGGAAAATAAGGTCGTTGCATCGCTTATCGATTAAAAAGTAAATGGAGAATAAGATTTGCAAATGTAAATGAGACAAAGATGCACTTGTTATTACAATTTTTTCATCTGGTTGGTATCCATACCCCTATTATGACGTCACAACTCATAAGTTGCATGTATATGTCAAAAAACAAAAGAAAATGTGATATACATGCTAATCAAATCAACAGCAAATTAAAGTATATGTTAATAATAAATACATAATATATAGATTTTTTGTCCTTTATATTTTTATTCCTTTCACGTAGGTACTTATTATTTGTAAAAATCACACAATATATGACTTAGAGATCGATTTATTTAATAAATATGATATATAGCGATAATGTGCCGTTGTCACGATGTTATTATAAGCTTGCTCCTAATATTTGCTAAATTTCTATCTTTTGCTTATCGCTTGCTACATATGAAGTGGGCTGAAAAGATCTACCACAAGGTAAAGTTACATATTTGGCTATTGTTTTATATTTATTATAAATGTTAAAAGAGACTTATTTTATACTACCGTTTTTTTAATATAGGTACGTTATTAAATATCAAGTTTCTTTTTTTAAATATAAATATTTTTTCCCTGACCCTATTATTTCTGTGAACTAAAAGTGCTTTGCATGAATTCAAATATCGCGTATATTTTTTATGTTAAAATAAACCTATAAAATGTTATTCAAAAGCTCCGTTTGCTTAACGATGATTTGTGAATGTAACAGCATGCTATTTCAAGCACTATTTAATACCACATTAATTTTATTAATTAGTTTTTTATTTATTTAACATTTAGCACCTCCTCGTAATGACCTTTGTAGCAGAGTGGTTCTCAAACTGGTTTCAAGGTATCGCAATCTCTGTGGTACCGGGTTTGATTGAATGGATTGTCTCCGGTCTGGGTGTTGTGGTACCTTCGTTTTCTCAGATACTCTATAATAGGAGGTCTTTAGCTAATCATCTTAGAATCTGAGGAATGTATGTGATGTATATTATTTATTTATTTATCTGTAATAAAAATAAACACAAATTATTTCTTTTAATGAAAAAGGTTTTTATTATGAAGTGGCAAAGATAAATCAATATTTATTTGTTTTATTGTTCTTATAGTGGTGAAGAGATATGTGAGAACAATGACAGTCAGAATGAAGAAGAAGAGTGGCCTCCCTTCAGACGAGTCGGCTCCTTCGATCCATATAGTGACGATCCTAGATTAGCTGTTAAACGGGTAAGTGGTAATCTCGAAACTGCAGTTGAGATAATATTTTACAGATCAGCATGTTGTATTATTACTTTAAATGATATCCACAATAGGTTTTCAACTCAACTATTAACGAATTAAGGCTAAAATTCGTTAATGGCTTCGGCATGAATGGGCCGGCTCGACCGGAGTGATACCACGGCCTCACAGAAAACCGACGTGTAGCAACGCTTGCGTTGTGTTTCGTCGTGTGAGTGAGGGTACCGGAGGCCCAACCCCTCCCTATTCCCTTCCCTCTACCCCTCAACCCTTCCCTCCCTATGATCATTTTCGTCCCTCAAAGGCCGGCAGCGCGCTTGTAGCCCCTCTGGTGTTGCAGGTGTCCATGGGCCCCTCTGGTGTTGCATAGACGTACCGTTTATTGACTATGCTAATCTTGAAATAGTTAAAAAAACTGTAATCAAATAAAGAAAAACAAAAAAAAAACGAATTTAAAAATACATGAAAAAATTTACTAAATAAAAACTAAAAAGAAAGGAACAAGCCCAGTAGTTTAGAATTCTGTTAAGTAATACTAAATTACTACACAATTGAAATAGTTTTATAATCGATACACACATAAAACAAATCATAAAATCTAATGCAGAACAGAACGACTTATAGTCAGAACCTCTTGAGATGATTTGATTGGTAAAATTTGATACCCTACAAGGAATTATCGAATAATATATATTTTTTGTTTCTTACTTTATGCTCTCTAGAGGGCGCTAATGCCAATTTAATGTAACGTCACATAGCCTATAGCACGCGGACAACTAAATCGCTTCTAATGAAACCTCATTTGTCCAGTTACAATGAGTACTTTCGAAATTATAAGGGATCAGATGAACATTCTTACATACATACATTCCGGCCAAAATCAATCCTCCTTTTCGCTTCGTCGTAGCTGGGTAAAAATAAATAGTCTTAAGAATAAAATATAAAACAGCAAGACCTATCCATTTTTTTACTATTCTTTCGTACATGTTACTACATCGTAGTGCTAAGGATTGTCTAGATTGAAGGTATTTCACTATGTACAAAATGTTTTGTAGGTAGTCCTATGTCCTCTTTCGGGCATGCTAACGGTAGGAGGAGCAGCTGGTCACATCGTCATAGCCAGTTTAAAAAATACACCAAACACAAGTGAAGTCAAAGTGAGTAACTATTATTATTACTATATTTGTATTATAATATATTTTGTATCCACAATATTTTTATCTTTCTAGAAGATATACTACCAAGTTTAACACTTAGTCCTAAGTAGATTACAATATTTTTTGTAATAATTGGAGTTTTGTATTTATATCACTTGTATTGTCTCAGTCTATGTCGGTGAACATCGTCTCGGATCGCGATGGTTTTGTATGGAAAGGTCATGATCAACTCACCCTTCGATCTGGCGCTCTCACATTTCCACAAGGATATCAGGTAATTTTTACATGTACAGTAAATGACTATTTAAAAAAAATATAGCGATTCTCGTTCATTTCACAACGAATAATGTGCACTTCAAATTCACTTAATTTTTTCGTGTTTTAAGTAGCGAACAATTTTTGTGTAATATCGTCTATTACGATCTTATCGTTATCTAAGAAGGATCTTTAACTCATACATTTAACTAAAGTAGATACATTTCAGTTTCGATATAATGTTTATTTATCCATGGGGATAATCCAATACTGCGTAATTAGTACTCGCAATTAATAGCTTATACCGAGAGAGTTATATATTATAACTCACTTAAAATAAACTCTTGACTGCAAATGTAATGTAATACAAAGTGAAAATTAACATGTACGTTAGGCTACGTCAGTGGTGCAGCTATCGCCGCCCGCCGCGGTGACGTCACTGTGCGCGCAGTGGGAGTGGGGCGTGGTCTGCGCCGGCACCGCCCACGGACTAGCGCTATTGGACGCTGTGCGCGCCCTGCCGCTGCTGCACAAGTGTACGCTCAACCCGCACGGTCGGTACACACTGTATATACTATACTATAATAACGGACGGACATATTTGACGAATCAAAGGTTGTTTGAAAGAGATTTTAGCTATAAAACCGCTATTGCCCACCATAGCATCAGAATCAAGATTGTTAACTTAATGTTGATAATAATATATGTGTAATAAAGTGTCTTTCTTTATTATGCAACGAAAATTCAAAAAATTGCGACTCGTTCTTATAATTTTGTGGAAATAAGCCCATGAAGATTGTTGTGCACCAGAGTTCAATGCGTACAGTCTATACACAAAAGAGTATGATATTCTATTAAAATATTAATTTAAGTAATTTTAATTTTGGACTGGGATTCTTATGAGTGATCAATAAGATATCGATAAGATATCGACGCGATTTTCTATGGAACCATTAGCAAGCCAACTCTGTAGCCAACAGCTGACACAAGCAATCACAATTATGTGAGAAATTAATTTTTAAAAAAATTAACACTTGTCACTATCGCATAACCATCGTCTGTCTCTATTTGATTGACGAACTCTTTACTGAAACCTATAATGACTTTAAAACGTCTCGTTCAGATCATTCCGGTGCTGGCGATACGCCCATCTCGAGGAGAAAATCATTCAAGAAATCACTAAGAGAATCATTCAGAAGACTAAGAAAAGGCAGATCGCAACGGCGTCAAACGACCACATCCAGTCCCACGTCGCCACAAGTAAGTAAAGATGCTTTCGCGGGCTGTTTTGAATGTTTTTCAGATAACAACCTTATGTCCTTACATTCTAGATGTTAATCTAGAATGTTAGGACATAGTTATTTAAAAATATAGAATAAAGTTATTTATAACTTTACAAAATTATAATAAAAAAGAAAACTCTAAAGCTTCGGAGCATTATTATACTGTAAGATGAAATGGCAAAAAAAGTTAGTTACATTATTGTAAAGGTCCATTTAATGACTCCATGATGCGTTGATAGACTACTCAGCTTACAAGACAATACACTGATAATAGCATTATTACAATAATAAAATAGCATGCAAATAAGTGTTGCCTCAATTACAAGCTGCCACGGCATGTACAGTTACACAGGAGGAAATACGTGAGAGATGTATAATAAGTTTATGCTTAGTTATTCTATCATTATGATAACAATTACTTATCTGTTATAGCAGCAATCATGTTAGATTTAAACAAGTTAAATTTGGAAAAAATATCTAGTACGTTATTTCTTTTCGCGATTACATTATATTGATTCTGGCCTCTATTTAATGCCGAATAGTGTCCTAGATTGCTCTTAAAAGATTTAGGAGAAAACAATTTATAACGCGAGGGTCTAACATGCTTACGTGGAATATTAAAATTAATTTGTTGTAAAAGAGCTGAGCAATCCAATGCACCGTTAACCATTTTATATAGAAATAACTGATCCAATAATAGTCTTCGGTCTTGTAGACTAGATACATTAAAATATGATAATCGTTCTTTATAGGAAGGTAACTCTTTAGCCATATTATGTTGAAAAGACAAATGCCATAAAAATCTTTTTTGTACCGATTCTATTCTTTTTATATGTACTTCGTAACGAGGAGACCACACCACACTACCATATTCCAAGGATGATCTAATTAATGCGTTAAATATAAGAATCTTGCTATTAGGAAGCCTAAAGTCTTTTGTATTTCTTATGACGAAACCAAGTATTTTAAAACATTTTTTGACAAGCTCATCTATGTGAGTATTAAAGTTAAGTTTTTTATCAAAATAGATGCCCAGATCGCGAATCACAGTAACTTCCTGCAATTCTTGGTTTTTAACTTTATATTTGTATGGGTTGTATGTTTTTTTGCGAGTAAATCGAATATATTTACATTTGTTTATGTTCAATGTCATGTGATTACGATCACTCCAATCCACAAGTCTATTTAAGTCTTCCTGTAAACACAAGCAGTCTGATGGGTCCCCTATGCGTTTAACTATTTTCAAATCGTCTGCGTACAGATGAAACGTACTGTGTTTGAAGCATTGTGAGACGTCATTAATAAATAAGTTGAAAAACAACGGCCCAAGGTGGGAACCTTGGGGGACACCCGAGAAAATGTCATACGAGTTAGAGGACTGACCATTAATGACAACTTTGAACTTTCTGCCCACGAGGTACGAAGTACACCATTTTAGGAAGCTACCATGAAAGCCAAACTGAGATGACAACTTAAAAATGAGGAGTTTATGACTAACCCTTTCGAAAGCCCTGCTGAAGTCAGTATATATGACGTCAGCAGAGTCACGCGAATCAACAGCCATAACTAAATCAGACACAAAGTTTACAAGATTGGTAGTAGTGGAACGAGAGCTAATAAACCCGTGTTGTTGCGGCATAAACAGCTGTTTAATATGCCTATATATAACTGGATATAATAAAGACTCAAAAACTTTAGCAAACGATGCAAGGATCGAAATCGGTCTGTAATTTCTAATGTCTAACTTGGAACCCTCTTTAAATATAGGTACTACCAAAGCCTCCTTCCAGACCGCAGGAAAACGACCTGTAATGAGACTTCTGTTATATATCATTGAAAGAGGTAACGCTAATGAATCGGCACATTTTGATATAAAAATAGATGGAATCTCGTCAGAACCCGCGCTTTTGGTACAATCCAGTCTTTTTAAAGCTCGTTTAACCTCATCCACTGATAAAAATATGTCACTCAATGTTGTGATGGCGTAGGGACAGCCAAAAGAAAGCTGAGATTGTTCATCATTGCCAGCTTTGCAGTGATCGAAAGCGGAAGAGAAGCAATCTGCGAAAAGGTTACACACTTCAGTACTACTGGTCCCTATCTTATTTTTATAAAACATTTCAGAAGAGTAAGTATTCTTACCAGTCTTCTTTTGCTTGATAAAAGACCAAAAAACTTTTGGATTAGTTTTGATTGAGGTTTCTATTAAAAAGACATATGATTTATAACACAGCTTAATTAAATGAATAGATCTGTTTCTTAGCGTCTGATATGCAATTTTATCCAGGGGATTCTTATATTTTTTAAAAAGTAATCTATGTTTATTTTTTTCTTTTAAAATACGTTTTAAATCTCTACTAAACCATAAAGGGTATTTATTATGGTGTATAACAATCTTAGGTACTTGCGCTGTAATAATTTCATGCAAAACCTTATAAAATACATCAATCATTTCATCCACATTTTTTGAATCCAAAAATTTGTTGCTCCATTCTGTTTTATTCAAAATTTCAATTATACTATCATAATCGGCCTTAAAAAAGTTGTGTTTAGAAATTGATTCTCGGGGCAAATTCGACGATAATATGTCACAAAAAAGTATGAATTGCAGTGGCGGATGATGTAAATCTATTTTACTAAGAGGGGTCTCACAACTTTTCAAACCAGTTAACGGAACATTACAAAGAACCAGATCTAAAATCTTGTTGTAGTGATTATTTATACAATTATATTGCTTTAAGTTACAATAGGATATGAAGCGATGATTTTGGTAATATCGATTTTTAAAATTTATATTAATATTATCATTATATAATTAAAACATTGGTCTTGATTCTCGCGTGAGGCCTTGAATTAATATCGGTAATTCCTAATGAACGTAAGTATTAGATGGCCCCCATTCACTATTTGTCATCGTTACCAATAGAACTCGCAAGTGAACACCAGCTCGATGGTGGTAAAGACGACCACGCGGACGACGATCAACGAGAACAACGTGGACGGCGCCACCACCACTACCACCACCACGACCACCAACAATACCACCGCCGAGAACAGTGAGTACTGACACCGCCACCCACATGTATCACACGCCTTAATATTCATTTAAAAACAATCTACATTGACGCAGAAGCGAAAGGGTATATATATTAAGAGTGTATGTAAAATTATATTAAAATTGAAACTGTTTATTTATCTTTGCCTGAAATGAACTTTGCGCATTTACTTTGAAATAGTTTAGAATTTCTGTTTTTTTATCCACTCATCCTGCCTATTATTTGCACGTCTGTTTAAGGCTTTATTGAAAACTCATATATGCGCCTTAAACTTGAAAAGTATATAAATCCATATTTCTATTACTTAAAAGACAAAGCGTTCTGCGAACACATCGACATCCCATATGAATGTCGATTTCATAATGTGCATAACACTTTGTACATTATGTATTAGGAATAGAGATGAATATACATTAAAATTTAAGAACGCTTCGCTTCGTCTCTGCGCCAATGAGGATTTAACCTTATTGCCAGTAATCTGTAAACCAATATCGCAACGAATGTATTTTTTTTTACTTACATGACGAGTTGTTCACTGTACGGTATTGTTACGGTCAAAGTAGCGTCAGCAACACAGAGTGCAATTTCTACAATTGATTTAAGAATTCAAAATCTTTTTTCACTTTGTCATAGCCTGATGTCGTCGTATACAACATATAGATTTCTATTTTATATATTTAAAGCCAAATTCATAATGATTACGTTACCGTACCTTGCATGAAAGCAATTATTTGCTTTGAATTGGCTTCATTATTTACATAGATAATATTTATTTACCAAATTTTAATTATATCCTAGACTCCAATCACTTCAATTTTGATCAATGTTTCATTTTCTTATTTAATCGTTCGCGAAGTGAATGGAGTTCCCTACGCAGCTTCCATAAAATATAAACTACTGTTATATGATTAACAGAGATCAGTTTAAAACATTATAAATGTTGTTATTAAAATGGTATACCATAAAAATTCAGCTTCATATCCCATATTATTATTATATGTTTATGTTTAATGTTTGTTCGTTTGTATGTTTGACGGGCGCTTATGTTTTTGTTTGTAGTCCTAGAGCACAGTCGCGAGGAGGGAGTCATCACCCGTATCGAGGTATCTCACACTTTGCTTTAATATCTAACTTATGTTAAATATACTTAAAGCGCAAATTTGCATGACCCAATAAAGCTGCTACTTTTTACCTATTTCCGCTTCACCTATGAAGATTATTAGCCTTTATAAATATTAAAATTATTTCTTACTAACATTTGAAAACTGTGCCGAATCACTAATACGAAATCATCTGCGCAATGTCGTGGCGTCCGCTCGTGTCAGTCTTGTCGTCTAGCAAAAGTTTGAGTCGCCCAGAATAGTCGAAGTGAAACACATGCGGCCGCCACTCGTTGTTGCAGAGAAGAACGTAAGATGGTACTCATAAGGCGATGTCTACACAGACGGGCACCGTGACGGTACCGGCCGGGACAGATCCGAAGCTCATCCTGGAGATGTTTGACCGGCAGAGGTCGCCACTCAACGTGCCAGTACCGCCCGCCCCCACCGAGACCCACTAGCCCCCACGCCCCTAAACTGTCCGCCCCCCGTATACGTACGCGATTACAACAATATACGGCCGCATTCGAACGGTCCCAGATTCCGATTAACATTACGCCATATTAAGCGTGATTACTTTTTAATTTGTTTATATAATAGTTGTATCTTTGCTATGCGTTCACTGATAAAGGTACTGCTTTCTATTCCGAATACAAAAGAAAATATTTTTTGTATGTAAAAAAAAAATTGAGTCTATAATAATGACAAATCACAAAAGTCATTTCAATTGTTCTAGAAAATATTTTTTATAAATTATTGAAATAGTTTGATGCAAAAGAAGTTGATATCATGAACCTGTATTATTAATCAATTTTTTATCACCATAAAATATAATATTCGTAATAGGTCTTCTTGATATCGGACATACATAAGTTATTGTAATTGTATATTTTATCAATAATTATTAATGCTCTTGTTTGTAAGTAAGTTTATTGCATTTTT